TTTACAGCAATTGAGTTACTTTTCTTAAACACAACTTCAATGTGATTTTATAAGATCAATATACAGGTAGTAGTGCCTGGGATATTTATGATAGAAGCTGCAAATTATTTTTTTTTGTTAGAAGGAGCTGGATCTGAGGCTCCTTTACAATGCAGAATCACCCATATGACATCTTCTTGATCTTTTGATGGTGATACCTAGCTTCTTTACACTAGAAGTTCAAAAGTGAAAATTAATGCTGTATCGATACAGTCCATCATTCTGAAAACTAATGCATTGTAATTCTAATGATTTGAACAGTGTCATGTTATATTTCTCTCTCATCTCACTAGATTGTTTTTCTTCCATCTTTTTCCTAAAACTGGCCACCAATTCAGAAGAGATCCTCTATTTTTCACAATGAAATATGATGCCATTAATCCTTTCTGAAAGGTTGACACAGAGCTGCAGGGCGGGAGCAGAGTGAACTGCCTTCTCGTCTTCTGGCTCCTTATAGGGCCTGTTCTGTATTTATAGCTGGAAGTGTAACTGCCAGGGACTGGTGGAAACCTTCACCAGGAGAAAGAAAAAGAACCACAGCTTTAAAGTTAAGTTTCAGTGAAATATGATAAGTGGAGCAGAATCATCCCTTTCTATTTCAAAAACTGTTAGGGACAGAGAACTTGAAAACTTAAAAAAATCCCAAGAATCCAAATGCTGTGACTGCCAGTTAATTCTGCATGCTTTGTAATCATATCTATTGTTTCCTTAGTATTTTTATTTCATGCAAGACTTTGTAAACACAGTATGTTTCTTTGGATAAGGGCATCTGCTAAGCTAATAAAATAATCATTGAGAGTTAGCAGGTAGCATCAATATAGAACATCAGAAAACAATGAATATCATAACAATGCAAGAGCTTTTGATGTGTTTGCTGTGGAGCAAATAACATGAGGTTATAAAGCATGGGGTATGGACTTTCTTGTTAACATTCTTCAGCTCATCATTGTGACTGAATACATGCAGCAGCTGTTCAGCTAAATTAATATTACTGCGCATGAATTCTAGTTTGTAAACGGGTTGTTTGTTTTTAAGTTAAATGAAAATCTTATACTGTATTTGGATTTTAAGACCCAGTCTAGCTTTACATGCAAGGGAAATGTCTTATGAAGCCTCTATAATCTGGGCTTGAATAAATATCTGTAGAAACAGTGATACATTGCCTCTGGTAATGGGATGTTTATCACACAGACTGTGAAAATAGTGTTGTGAAAGATGATGTAAAAATGGTTGGGAGTCTGCTTAAAATATGCAAACTTGGTGTCTGTCACATAGTATGCACTTTAATGTGTAGCAGCGTTTTGTGATTTTCTTGCTTTCTGGATGTCTATAAGCTTTTTGTTAGGAAAAACAAGGTTGTAGACATCTGTGCTGATATTAAAATATGTCTACTTAGGTTACAAGCTTTAACACAAGGGCATCTGTGAGCTGTGACCAAAGGGCAGTTTGTAATTATGTAGCCTAGTTGTAATGGAGCCTAATGCCTTTAAGGTGTGCACTAAGGATGCTTTCCTAAGCAGAGAACACATTCCTTTCTCAGAGGTCAGTTTGCTTTCCTCACTCCCACAGTGAGCTGAGCAAGGCAAATAATGAACTTGTTCTTGACATTATTATAGCTTGCCTTTTAGTTCATCAGTAGGGTTTATGTATTGATAACAACAATGGCAAATTAAAAAGTATACAATTATTCTTTATTCATATAACACCATTAATAATGGCTGTGTACAAGTTCTGACAAACTTTAATTTGTTGTATCTAATTTGCTTACATATTTCATGCATGCAAATTAAAAGTTTGATGCATTGCTGTATATATGCATGTCTGAGATATTCTTAAGTGAAAATCACAGCACATTGGGACATGATAAAAACACGTAATAAAAGAGGTTATTTTTGCATTTATATTAAGAAACACTTTTTTCTTTTTTTTTTACTTTTTACACCAGTCAAGTGTGACATAATACTGCAAATTGTAGTAAATTAACAGTATGTATGGAAAGCCAAAACAATGCTCCTAGGGAGTAGAAGATTCCTAAGGTGCCATTATATGGTCTTCTAGTAGCTCTCACTACCACAAGAACATGAGCACAGTTACAAATGAAAGGAGGCCATTTGGCACATGCCTATTTGGTAGTTAAAAGTTAATTGATCCAAGGATGTTATCTAGCTATTTCTTCAAAAAATCCAGGCGCTGGACTTCAACTACATGGCTAAGTAGCTTGTTCCATCCCACAACCCTTTTGGTAAATACGTTCCAAGTCTGCTGTTAGCTTTGTCAGTACCAGGATTAAGGAGTTTAATATTTGTATCAAATATACACAATATTTTCACAGTCTTCAATGTTCATCACTAAATAGGTTCAGTTCTTTCAGCTGGTCAGTGTTAGACATTCCATTAATATATCTATTGTTCTTTTCTGACCTTATTCCAGAGCAGTGACATCTTTCCTATAACACAGTAACCAGAATTGTGCACAATATTCTAAATGAGGCCTTGCATGTACATTGTATATTTACCTTGAGTTCCCTTTAAGTTTTGCATTTTTAACTACTGTATATATCCTAACATTTTCTTTTTTAATTGCTTCACTACATATATGATGTGTAACACCTAGTTTGTAATTAACTTATTTTATTTCAGTGTTTTCTATTTTATGTTTATAGTTTTTGCTACCTTCATGCTAAAACCCCTTTTTTGCCCATGACGCCATTTGCCAGGTTTTTGCCCAGTCCTGAATTTTGTCTAAATCTTTTTTAATTTCATCTATGCCTTCTGCTGTGTTCAATAATCCTTGTGTTTTCACAAGTCTGATTAGTTCATTAACTATACCAGATGTTAGATAATAGATATAAATTAAGAGCAGCAGTGGTCCTAGTGCAGATCCTTGTGATACTCCCCTAATTATTCTAATCACCACAGTTTGAACATTCATGCCTTGCTTGTACTCTGTTTTCTTTTAACCAACACTCAACCCAAATACCTGCGTTTCTCTGAATACCAGCCACCTGTGATTTAAGAATTCATCTTTTATGGGAAACTTAATCAGAAGCTTTCTGAAAATCCAAATAGACCATCATGTGCTTTCTATTTGTTTCCACTGCCATCAGTTTATAAGTACTTATGGAAGTGTGTTATGGAAGTTGTGGGATTTGGCCAGCCTTGATCCCCTTTAAATATCTAACCATTGTGTTGTATGTCTTTTGTTTGATTTAAAAATTGTTTTCTCCAGAAAGCTGAAACAAGCCTTCTACGTTGGCAGCTAACTTGCTGCCACAGCTGCTTCCTTTATTTCTGTCTTTTTTTCTCAAAACACTTGCTGCCATCTCTCTGCAGGGGTTTAGCCGTCTCCACCTAGGCAGCCCAGCTGATTGATATTGTTTCCACATTATAACTTTTTTTTCCATTAACTTGAGCAGGTTCCCCTTCCATTTGCATACACCTAAACTTTTTAGGAAAAACAAAATGTCTGCCCCTCCCTACAAAACCATTTAAACTATACCACAGTAATTTGGAAAAAAAGATGAAGTAAGGTCAACATAATATGCATTGATCATTTTAATGATTGTCGGGTAATGGAAACCATTGCCACTCATGTCCTGTTTTGATGATAAGTCAGTTGCTTTCATGCTTTCATGTAGCTGTAGTTCAGATTACAGCCACTGCAATTATCCTTTTTTTTTTACTACTGGCTATACAGGAAAGTTGTCAAAAGAGGCCTGTTATCCACTGCAGCAGTTTTCTTCATCTTGGAAACAGGTTGGAAATAGTCCAGGCAGTATCATTTGGAGATTCTATCAAATCTAGCTAATTAAATGTGTAGAAACATTTTTCAGTGCTTGCTTTAAAACGTCATCAGAATAACAAATAACATTTCAATTTATGTAAAGCTTTGACAGATTTTACTGCCTTAGATGATAGAATTGTATACTGATTTGTATAGGTTTTCACTGTTAATTAGTCAATGCTGAACACTTGGTAAATGTCTCTACACAGAAAAAAAAGTCCTATTTGAAAATATTGATGTGGACATAGGTCACAGGAGAGCATCTAAGGCTTAGTCTCTTTCTCATTACAGACTCAGAGTGAGTATACTTTTTAAAAGTCAGTTAAATAAACCTACTGGACTTCTTCATTCATTATTCAGGTGTAGCTGGTTCATTACAAGGGAATCCCCAGGTAAACAAACACCAGTAATGTAAAGCCTTGAAACACAAATGAGTCATTAAATGAAACAAAGGACAGCTTCAGTCATTGCAAAATGAGCCATAATTAGAAAGTCATCCATAAAGATTGAGCATATTTAACTAAAGACAACTGCAAACAGTTAGAAACAGTCTTGTGGTGATGCATGTTTACTTAAAGGCAATGAGGATGGAAATATGCTTTCATTTTTAAAACTGGCAAAGAAACCCGGTGTGTCATCATTACATTTAAAGACAATATCTTAACTCCCGCAAACAGATTTTCAAAATTTCCAGTAAACCTTGTTTGCAGAATTCATACCGCTGTGAACTTGTAGGTTTTTCATTACTTTTGAGTCACTGTGGGTATGTCATCATGACTTCTGTTAAGTAAGTACACTCTTATAACAGTATAAAACATTTATGGCATAGTAGAGGAAAAAAGACCTTAGTGGCTATATTTAAATAAATGTATTTGACTTTTAGTCTGAATTTTGAATGTTAGTATTATTCTGCCTTGTATTATATTGACAGATTTTAATGTAAAAGTATTCAATTAAAATGCAGTATACTCTAAATTCATGTTATAAATATTGCTTTAATAAAATATGAGAATGTGCACCATTCTAGGCATTTCCATGGGACATGCGCCCATGAGTACCTCTGATTGCACAGAGGTCAAATGAAAAATTACAATACTTTGCTCTGACTTAAAAATAAATGTATTTAATCTGTGTTTTCCAGAGCAGGCGGTTGAGTTCTGTGCGCTTTATCTCCACAGAGGGTGTCTGCGAGATCTGGTTGACCAGTGAAGACACAGGAGCCTATGGAAGAGACATTGGCACAGATTTGCCGACTCTGCTGTGGCAGCTGGTGGAAGTGATACCTGAGGGAGCCATGTTGAGACTGGGCATGACAAACCCTCCTTACATATTGGAGCACCTGGAAGTAAGACCACCTACAGCTTGTACTGGCCAATGCACTTGTCAAATTAAGTCAGCTAACCCTAGACCTATTGGGCTCCTGAGCTGGTGTTGTTCCTCTTTACACAAAGGAATTCTTTATATATAAGTGAAAACACAAAATGGGCAGTTGGTGTTGATCAGTGTTTGATTTGGTTATTTTTTTCCATACTTCTGCCATACACAGCCATAACTAAATGATAACAATTTTATGGTCTATACTCCAGGTACTGGTATGTTATTTCACTGTAAAGGCAATAAATGAAAGAGGATATGAATTGATGTGTAGACAGAACAGAAGATTGATAATTTGATTTGTTTGAGCTTTAAAAATTATTTCCTCCATCCATTTTCTATCCACTTCATCCGTCGTGGGGGAGCCACAACCTGTCTCGGCAAGCAACAGGCGCAAGACAAGCCAGTCCATCACAGGCCAAACAAACACACAGGCCAATTTATCAAGAACCAATTGACCTATGAGTATGTCTTTGGTCTGTGGGAGAAAACTGTAGATTACCCAGAGGAGATCAACGTGAACTTGGGGAGAACATACATACTCCTCACATGTAGCACTCCTGGAATTGAAATCAGGGGGCGAGGCAGCTAACCACTGTGCCATAGTAACACATTTTAGCAATTGCACTTTCTTTCTAAATCATAGTTGCATACAGTATGTGTGTGAAAGTTGCTGTATAAACAAGAGTAATTACTAATTCAGTCAGATTCAAAATATAATGATATCTGGAAGCTTGTGCATACATGCCGACTTATGATTTCATTTTATGAATGTTCAGTTACACTGATTGAACACAGTGATTAAAATCACTGCATCTACTAAAATAAGTAGTAGCTTTATAAAATCACCAACACTCCTTGAGAATCACCAGATGATTCCCCTTACCTGCTGACAGCAGTTGAAATGTATGTACTGTATGGAAATGACCTTCCTATATAGTATGTGCATTTCAAGCATTTGCTATCCACATTTAATATTAATTTGACAGATGATTAACCCACTGATCATGTTCTTAAATAAGGAGAGCCATACACCATTAAAACGTTTTTAAATAAAAAAGTACAGAGGGAGGGATTAGTTTCTGAATTTCTTTCCAAAGAGTATATTTCTTTGTGTGTTCAAGTTGCAGTGTTTGCTTAAAAGTCTGCTCTCCTTTGAATAAAATAGAAAGAAACTTCTTTTTCCCCTAAAACCCCAGGTGTAGGTTAAAGCCCTAATCTTCAAGTTACAGGGAAGAAGTGCTGTGGGATGCAGTTTTAATTTGTTCTGGGTTAATTGAGGTTGTAATTTTGTCCCCATAAGTATAGGTTATGTTTATGCTCCGTTACATTCAAATTAAAAACTGATGAAGCTTCTTTATGTTGCAGAATTGTTGTTAAACAATTAAATGGTAATTAAAATGCAGGGTAAGCAGTATGTTAATGTTGACAGCTAGACCATCTCACATAGTTGGTTTTCATTTCATTTAAACAATGTGCACTTACCATATTTAGATCTCTTTTTTCTGTGCATTTTATGTTTAACAATTAGTATCATTGTTTGATGGTATTTTGTATTCAGTTGCACAGAAAATTAGTTATTTATTTGATGATACTAAGCAGCTTCTTTGTCGTCAACAGTCATTGATTTACTAATAACAGAAAATGCCATACAGAATTAGCAACCAGTCAAACTTTCAGACATACTAGTAGTAACGTGCTTCTTACAATGATGTACGGAAGATAAAGTCTAAATTGAATATTTGTAAATACATTGATATAATAAGAAAAAAAAGTGTTTTTGCATTTTGCTGTAACATAGTGTATGTTGGTAGAACTAATGTAGCATAGCTACAATCAGAAAATATCCGTAGTACCTTCCACCTGATATTTTCTCCATTTAAAATGCAGAAAAATGTTGTTTTTCTTTTTTCAGATGGACACATTTGTCTCTCATCGTCATTAAATTTGGCATTTTGTTACATTCCCCGTTAAATGACACGGTTTAACATGATTGCAAGATGTTAACAAAACCCCCTTCTAACTTTTTTCTATTGTTATTATTTTTAAAATATTTTTCACTTTGATCATTTTATAAATGGTTTACTACTCTGAAATTCTGTTTGAGCTGACTGTAAAGAGCTGACATTAAATTATAGACTGCTTTCAACAGTAAAGGCCAAGTCATTCGACTTTCACGTAAGACATCTTATAAAAATAACCATTTAGCAAGTATTAGCTGGTAGTCAGTGAACAGAGAGGTTATTATAACTCTTTCTCTGTCATTTCTCTTGCAAAGCAGCTCTCAGACAGAAGATAGGACTTTTGGAGGTTCTAGAGGAAACGGGCTATGAGACTTGATTTTAGAAAACTAAAGTGAAAGTGTACTATAAAACTGGTCTTCTTATTAAAAGCCAAGTTAAATTTAGTAATTATTGTCCATATTTTTTTCTATCTATTATATCCATCTTGAGCAATTCAAGCAGTCTTTGGGGCTGTTAAAGGTAGTTTCATTGGAGGCTGTGCAAATAATGTAATGTAATGAGCTTATGTGGATGATTTCTGTCAACAAGGGCAAAGTGAAACCCTTTAATTGATCCAGTTTAATCGAAATAAACAAGAGAACCTTGTTGTGTTTTGTTGTGCTGTGAACCTTGTAGTGTTTTGCCATTTCTTGCAAATACATGGTTTGTACAGTATTTTCGTTCTTTTTGTCATCTTACATTTTTGTACTTAAGGAAATTACCAAGTAATGTTTCTGACTGCATTGGACTGAAAAGGGAAAATGCAAATCATCTCCTGGTAATTGATGGCCATAGGGAGTGCCTTGATTTAAATTAGTTGTAGGATCTATACAACAGACTAAGCAAAGTCATTTATAAGATTAGTCAGTTAGGAGCTCCACATCTGTCCTTTAGCCCTGTTTAAAAGACTCCTTTTGTGTGAAACAATATTGTCTGTTGTAAACTGCGTGGGATCACTACATTACAAGGAACATCAGATGAATGTGAGGCATAGCATGTGCACAGTTGTTTTTTTTAGGTAATGTAATGTCTTGGAAATATGCAAATAATTGATTTGGATAAAAACGTTCACTGTCAAGGATGGTAGTTTTGATCTTTTTTTCATTTGATATGGTATTAGCATATTATTGCTTACTTTTTGTATGAGTAGTTTAGTTTAAAAAGATGCATGTTTGATATACTGTTATTGGATTTTTGATTGATACAATAATCTATTACTTTGGCCTTTTATTTTACTGCATAGAAAAAAAATATTTTTGGTAGTCTTTTTTAAGTGCATGGAAAATTGTGATCACCCAATTTCATGTATAGTGCCTTATAAAAGTATTCAGACCCTTCCATGGTTTTTTGTTGCTTTAAAGCTTACACTCATTTTGAAATAGCAATTCATACTTGTTATATACACAACCTTTTCCCCACATTCAAAGCAAAAGGCAAAATGAAATAAATAGATAATTAACATGAAAGAAAAATTGATAAAACATGATTGCAAGTATTCAAATCATTTGCTGTGGAAAATCTAAATTAGTCTACGTGCACAAAATTACTTTAACGAGCCACACAATTAGTTGTGCAAGAGCAGTGGTTCAGATAATTTCAGAATAAATACACCTATTTCTATAAGGTCCCTCAGTCAGGTAGTGAAATTCAAACAAAGATTCAACCATAAAACAAAAAAGCTTTCAGAAAATCTTACAGATAAAGTCGTTTAAATGCACAATTTTGGAGAAGAAAACTGTATAAAACATTAAAAAAACTCTTAATATTTCTTTAAGCATGGTGAACTAAGAAGAAGGCACGAAGACACTGACTAGATCAGGCAGTCTCTCCCAGTTGTGCTGCTGGAAGAGAAGTAAACTGATTACATTGTGAAAAAGGTTACATTTTGAGGCCAGTGGTGTCTTTGAAAGAGTTACAGAGTTTAAAGGCTAAGCTTGGAGAACACATCCGTGAATCAACAATACTGGTCACTTCACATAAGAGGCTTCTATGGACCTTACATCTGAAAAAACATCTGAAACACTGCATTGCCTTTGAAAGAAAACACCTAAGTAATACTGCAAAACATGTGGCAAAAGACAAAATAAAATTGGAATTTACTACTGATGTAAACCCAGCTTAGTGCATCACTCAGTCAACACCATCCTTAATGTCAAGCATGGAAGTACACTGTAGCGGCACTATGTTATACTTCTGCTTCTCTTCATCAGGGACTGGGATGCTTATCAAGACTGATGGGAACATAAATAAGATAACTTGTCTTTAAATTCTACACTTTGAGCATTCAGGAATTCAATAAAATGTTACATTTAAAAAAGTATGTGCATCATATTGGAATTCCACACCATAAAAAGTGTCTGAATACTTTTGCAAGGCACTGTATATAACTTTTTCTATTCTTATTGTGTAGAAATACATTCACTCTTCTAATCTTTTATGTCAAAGTAAAAATACCCTAACAATTGCCATTCTGAGCTTTGTTGGAGGTTGAACTCCAAATCTATCCACCATGATAGAACATTTATTTTTTTATCCCATTTCAGTTTGGTTATCTCCCTCTCCACCCCCTCCCCTTTTCTAGCCTTTAATCTAGAAGTGAGAGATGCGGGAACACTTACAGTTCACTCAATTATACTCAAGGCCCCAGGGAGGTGAATGCAATTTGTATTTGGAGCGCTGACTGCTAATTTCACACAAAACATGTACGATTTTCATATTAATGATTCTCCTGAGACACTTTGTCCATTAGTGGCTTAATGTACCATTTTTAAGAACACTAGGTAAAATAAATGCAAAAAATTTGTTCGATCAGTTATGAGTTACAATATATTGAGGTGGGGGGTACTTGCAGGTCCTTTTTCTTTCCCAAAGTCATGAAATGTTATTTAGATGTTTGCAGTGGTTGAAGGTGGTGCACTTCATTTTGAAATTTCTGCCAAAAAGTAATTTGTCTGTTGGCTGGTAATTT